GGGCGGAGGCAGGGCAGCGCCGGAGCAGGGGGACACGTCTTCTTTTAAGGCATTTGTTTATATTTTTGCAGAGAGCAGGAGCCTGCCTGGCTCGCTGTGATGGGCCCTGGGCTGGCAGAGGGATGGTCCATACTCACAGGCACTTGCTGTCCTGGCAGCCAAGGGGGAGATGGGGGTCCCCGGGGAGGCAGGCAGGTGGGCTGCGGGGGTCTACCCTGTGCCTCCTCCGCTGGAAATGGGAGCCACGCTGCGCTTTGCCCCAGGGAGGAGGTGACACCAGCCCCAGCACTTAGTGCTGTCAGCACATTCGGGTCCCTGGCGCGGGGACCCGGTGACTCCCAGAGCCCTGCACACGCAGCAGCCTGTCCAGGTTTCGGCATGGACCCGGGCCGTCTGCGCTGGTGATGGTCTCCCAGACCTGCCTGTGGCACCCGCCTCAGCCAGCCTACCCTCCCGGACGCCGCTCCTTCATCACACTTCCCTCTCTACCCCTTCCCTGGATGGTTTGGTGGCTCCTGTCCCCAACATCTGCTGGCGGGGCGGCTGTGGCCGAGAGCAGGGACGCACGCCCTCCCTGCCCAGGACGGCACTGCACAGCCCGCTGCCGGCAGCAAACCCCTCCGCACCCCACGGCCGGCCTCTGCCCAGTGCCACCGTTTGCCCCTTCCTCTGAGACCCCCACTGGGGATGCCCCACGTGCGCTCAGGCAGACCCCACACCGAGTTTGCCCTGTCCTGCACCAGCATGGATGCAGTCAGACCAGTACGGACCCCGCTACGCGCAGCAGCCGCCCCGCCCAGCTCTAAGCGCCTGCCCCACGCCGGGGTAAATGTGCTCTTCCAGAGGACTTTCAATGGTTTAACTACTTGGTTTAGTATCTAACCAAACTGGGGCAGGTCCATAGGGTCAGCAAACAAGGCTGGGGAGCCCCTCAGCTGCTCCCAGAGGGTTCCGGGACGCCGAGGGGACTTGTGCTGCCGCTGCTCGTCCTTGTCTGCTCACCCCTGTCCTTGGCGGCCACCTCGGAGATTTGACGCATCTCCCCCATTTAGCTCCATAAACCAGCTGGGATTGAATTTTTTGTCCTCAATCCTTAAAAGCCTGGCCGTACCCTGCTGGCCATGCTCCAGCCGGCTCCCCTTTAGCTTCTCCTCCAGTTTCCAGGGTTGGTTTTCATCAAAGAAGGACTGGCTATCAAAAGGAGAATTTATTTATAGGGTGTCAAATACCCTGTGTGGCACTGCAGGTCGTTATAACCCGTTCCCGAGCGGCTCTGTGGCCGCACACAGCTGTTGCACCCTTCATCCTGGCCAGGCACAAGCCAATTTCAACACCTTCCTAACATCTCCCTGGTGGGATCCATTTCCCAGGAGAAACATCAGTCACAGCAATAAATAAAACTTTCTGGCCTTGCCCTTCCTAGGGTACAGGGTGGCACACTGGGCCCCAAAACGATCAAGCTCCCCCTCACACACCCCAAGCATCCTTCCTTGCGCCCCGCACTCTGCAGCTGGCCACGGGAAAGAGCTTTTTTCATTTCTCTACTCTTTTGCTTTCCTAGCAAGCGCCGCGGAGTTTTTGCTACAAGCACTGGAGAGGCACGTGCCTGGGGACTGGCAACACGGCTCGGGACACTCGTCCCCGTTCGCTTTGGGTAGCCAGGCAGGCGGCTGCCCACGAAGCTCCAGGCAGGACTGGAGCTGGCCTGGTCCCTGCACCCGGAGCAGGATCTGTCCGGTCCCTGCCCTGCACCTCAGCCCGGTTCAGTGTCAATGTCGCAGGAATGGGATCCTGACAGTCTTCCCCACGGACACTTTCCATATAAGGCCCCCCTCTTCCTTCACCCCCCCGAGGTCCGGCGCCCGCGCAGGGGAGGAGGTGCTGGCATGCCTACGTACGTCTGTAGCTTTCTTCTCCGCCTGCTCCAGCTTCTCCTGGGCCTCCTTGACGGACTCGGAGTACTTCTCCACCTCATCCTCTGTGCCCTTCAGCTTCTTCTGCAGGCCCTGCTGTTCCTCCTCCAGCTGGGGAAGGGATGGAGGACGGGGGTCAGGGGGGATGGCAGTGCCCACAAGAGTCGGGGGGGATGGCCATCCTCCTCCCGGGGACACCCAGGCTGGGGGACAGCAGGAGCTCACAGATACGCTCCCTCTGTCAACTTTGGGGCCACATGTCCTCAGGGAGCCCTGGGTCCCCAGGGCTGGAACAGCCTCCAGCATCCCGTAGCCTGGTGGGGGTAAGAGGGTGGTGGGCTCTCACCCTGTGTAGGGGACTGGAGAGGTCCCAACTTGAGGACACAGCTCTGGGGCGCACTGAGAAGGTCCCCATCTCCGGGTGGCTGGGGTGGAAGTAGGCTGTCCCAAGGGTCTCCCCAGCAGAGGGACAGTGAGGTGGCACTGGGGTGTCCCACCGAGATGATGCATGTTTGGGGTTACTAATGAGAGTGGTCAGTGGCAACAGGCTGGAGCGCTGGTCCCTGGGGACAGGCACTGAGCAGTCAGAGGTTCCCAGGGATGGGCACCCAGCAGGCGGAGGTCCCCAGGTACAGGCACCCAGCAGGGTGAGGTCCATGAGGATGGGGACCCAGTGGGGTGACATCTCAAGGGCTGGGTGCCCCTAGAACTAGGATCCGCAAGCCAGACACCCAGTGGGACAAGGCCCCCAGGGCAGGACATCCCTAGGACCAGGGTCTACAGGCTGGACACCCAGCATGGAGAGGTCCCCAGGGCTCAGCACCCCTAGGGCAGAGGGTCCCCAGGCTGGACACCCAGCCGAACAGGGTCCCCAGGGCTGGACACACCTAGTGCAGAGGGTCCCCAGACTGGACACCCAGCATGGAGAGGTCCCCAGGGCTCAGCATCCCTAGGGCGGAGGGTCCCCAGGCTGGACACCCAGCCAGACATGGTCCCTGGGGCTGGACACACCTAGAGTGGAGGGTTCCCAGGCTGGACACCCAGTGGGACGGGGTGCCCGGGGCTGGACAACCCTAGAGCGGAGGGTCCCCAGGGCTGGACACCCCTAAAGCGGAGGGTCCCCAGCCTGGACACCCAGCCGGACAGGGTCCCCAGGGCTGGACACCCCTAGAGCGGAGGGTCCCCAGGCTGGACACCCAGCCGGACAGCGTCCCCAGGGCTGGACACCCCTAGAGCGGAGGGTCCCCAGGCTGGACACCCCGCCGGACAGCGGC